TGCTAGTCACTGATGAAGATACAATGACTACGACAAGGTCTTTAGGGCAAGGGAGCAGGCTTCGGTTTTTTTTTTTTTTTTTTTTTTTTTGAGACAGAGTCTCACTTTGTTGTCCAGGCTAGAGTGAGTGCCGTGGCGTCAGCCTAGCTCACAGCAACCTCAAACTCCTGGGCTCAAGCAATCCTTCTGCCTCAGCCTCCCGAGTAGCTGGGACTACAGGCACGTGCCACCACGCCTAGCTAATTTTTTTCTATATATTTTTAGTTGATTAATTTCTTTCTGTTTATAGTAGAGACGGGGTCTCGCTCTTGCTCAGGCTGGTTTTGAACTCCTGACCTTGAGCAATCCGCCCGCCTCGGCCTCCCAAGAGCTAGGATTACAGGCGTGAGCCACAGCGCCCGGCCCAGGCTTCGGTTTTGTTCACACAGTTATATGTAGTGTGTGTGTTTGTGTGTGTATATATATATAAAATATATACAAGTATACACACACATAAAAGCAGTATTATATATGTATAACTATATTATATATACACAGTTATATATATGTGTGTACATGTGTGTGAGTGTGTGTGTATACTTGTAGGTGCTTGGTAAATGTTTTATTGAATGAGTGATTTAGTTGGGGAGACAAACTCTCCCAGAATTGGCTCTAACTCAGGCTGAATGAAGAAAGAGCTGCAATAAAGATACTGGAAAGTGTGGAGACAGCGCCAAAGGAGTGGGCAAGCAAGGGGAAGTCTTTTCTGAATCCTTACTATGGTCACATTGGCATTAAGCCTTTAACTCACTCCGAATCCCAGGGGTTTGCAAGAACCAGCAAGTGGCATGGTGTGCTCAAGCATGATGCAGGAGGTAGTGGAAGATGGATCAAGTGACAGGATCCAAATAGTGTTTAGAAACCTCACTCTGGTGCCCATGTAGAGAGTGACTTTTTTGGTTGGAGAGACTGCAAGTGAAAAGACCAGTAAGGCAGCTGCTACCTCATCAGAGAAGTGGTTGCCTGTGCAGATGAGGCCAATGGCAGAGTGAAAACAGAAAAGAGAAGATGGATGCAAGACTACTTCAGGAGTGCAATCCATGAGACTTAGTATTTAACTAGATAAAGGGGTATAAGGAAGAAGCAGGAGCTAAAAATGATTTTGAAGTTTCTTATCTGGGTGACTGCATGGTGGTGGTGACATTTCCCAATCAGGGAACAGTGAAGGGGCAGATTTGATAGAACGATGGGAGAAATTAAGCTTTATTTTGACATCTTGAATTGGAGATGCTGGTGGAGTAAACAAGTGGAATATCTAGCACAAAGCTGAAAATCTAAGCTGGATTTCAAGAAATTTGGGAGCATTCAGTGCTGATGCAGGCAACTCACACCATGGGAACAGATATGATTTGTGGGAGAGAATTTTCACTTAAGTAGAAAAGAGGGATGATGGCTGTGGACAACAGTTAGATGCTTCCATATTTCTGTCCTGTGGGAATCACAATTCAGCATGCCCAAAATGGAATTAATCATCTTCCCACCAAACCTGTTTCTCTTCTTAACTTCTCTAGCTGTGAGGATGGCACTGACCATTCTCTTAGTCACCCTGGCTCAAAACCTCAGCCATCTTTGTCTCCTTTCTTGACTCTTTACACAACAAGTTTCACCTATAGAAAATTCTGAAACTCCACAAAAACAACAGGTAGGAGATACAGTCATTTATATTGAAACTATTTTTGATGTCATGTAGCCTATCATTATAGTCACATTCCTATGCAAGTATTGATTTAATTTCCTTTATACATGAATCATACTCTACATTTTTAGAGTAACCTTTTTATTGATGTATAGCAGTCATGCAGAAATATATACACAATCATAAATCGATGACTGTTCATGTCATTAAATATTCTTTCACAACATCAGTTTTAAAAGATTGCAAGGTATTGCATCCATAGATGTACCATAATTTAGTTAATTAACCCTTATAGGATTGCTGGCTTTTTTCCAAGTCTCATCTCTCTCCCACAAATGCTGCAGAGATGAACTTGTTTGTATTTAACATTTTTGTGCCCATTTCCAATTTTTCCTTAGAATAAAATTCTTAGAGGCAGAATTTCTGAATCAAAGGGCACATGCATTTTAAATAAACTTTTAATTTTAGAATAGTTTTAGGTTTAGAAAAAAATTATGAACATACTACAGTTTCTGTGTAGTCCACACCCAGTGTCTTCTATTGTTCACATCTTATGCTAGGATAGCACACTTGTCACAATTAATCAACCAATATTGGTACATCATTAACTAAAGTTCATACTTTATCCAGATTTCTTTAGTTTTTCTCTAATGTTCTTTTTCTCTTCCAGTGTCCCACCACATTACATTTAGTTGTCATGTCTCCTTACGCTCCTGTTGGCTGTGATAGTTTCTTAGACTTTCCTAATCTTTGACCTTAATTTTGAGGAATATTGGCACATATTCTGTAGAATGTCCCTCAATTTGGGTTTGTTTGATTTTTTCCTTACGTTTAGACTGGGGTTACATATTTCGTATTTCGAAGGAAAGTACCATCAAATGTCATTCGCATCACATATGACAGCCACATACCACAGACACAATTTATCACTGTTAATGTTAACCTTGATCACCTGGCGGAAGTAGTGTTTGCCACGTTTCTCCACTATAAAGTTACTCATTTTTCTCCCCTTTTCATACTGTAATCTTTGGAAGGAAGTCATTGTGCATAGCCTATACTTGGAAGTTATGCTCCAGGGTAGAGATTTTATGTGAATTATTTGGGATTCTTCTGTGGGAGATTTACGTCTTCTCCATTTATTAATTTATTCAATCACTTATTTCTATTAGTATGGGCTCAAGAATATTTCTTTTAAATTCTGAGTTATATTCCAATACTACTTCACTTGTTTTATTGCTCAAGACGTGTATTTTTAATGTTCTGAGTAACTCAATGTAAAACTGCCCCTCCCAAAGGCTGTACCAACTCCCATGGTTAGGAGATGTCATTACGAGATCCACTTCCCCTCAACTTCACACACCCTTTATAAAAGTAGGTCAGAGAGCAAGGGTGAAGCTGACGCCCTTCGCCAGGGTCCAATTTCTTGATGCCCACAAGAAAGATGAGGCCGGCAAGCGTGGTCTTTTTCCCCCAGGGTCACCTCAGCCTCAGAGGGACTCCTCACCACGCCCGCCCCTATTGGCCGAGCGTCTTAGCCTCTTGCCCCAATGCCAGGCTTCTCCGTGGCCCCGCCCACAGCGGGCGGAAGTGGGAGCGATCGCGGGGCGGAAGCCCTGGGGCGGGGCGGGCTCTCTTGAGCAGTCAGCCCCTCCTACTCCATCGCCCCACCCCTCCGGCCCAGACCGGAAATGAGGTCAGAGAGGGAAACCCTGGCGGGGAGCCTCGGCCCAAAAAGCGGCGGCCGTCGGAGGTGGCTGCGGCAGCTGGTGAGGGGGAGGAGTGGGTTGAGAGGGTTGGGATCCAGGGGGCCAGTGCCAGAAGAGACTGGGGCTCCGGGGCGCGGATGAGCCGCTAAGGGTGTCTTGGGACCGCGGCAGCCTACGCGAGCAGCGAGGGTGGTCGGGCCTTGTTTTTCAGGGCCCGTGCCCCCATCCCGGGGGATGAGGGCTGGGCAGTCTCTGGGGTAATAGCCCCCTCCTGTCTCTTCTTTCTGCCCCTCTTTGGCTGGGGACAGCGTGAGGGCTTGGTGTCCTGAGCCATGATCACTTTAGCCCTGGGGGACGGGCTGGGGAGTGGTGGAGAGTCCTTTGAAACACGGTTTTTCTCACGTATGTGGCCATGTTGTGACTGCTGATCACCGAGGGAGCTCAGTTGCCAGGACTTGCTTTTTGGCAGTTTCTGCCCTAGAAAGGCTGACCCCCTGCCCCTGGTGAGCCCAGATGAGAAGTTGCCTCATGCCCACCACCTCCTACTCCGTCTCCTCCTCAACCCTGAGCTTGCCTCTCGCTGCCCACCAGCTATCTGTCTGTTCCTTCCTGTGCTTGACTCAGACAGCCTTACCCCTATTCGGGTGCATGCCAGGACCCGGAGTCCTTTAGCAGTGTGCACCCAAAACTGGGGTTCTTCTGTCACCTACTGTTTGAGTTGCAGCCTTTGAGGCAGGAAAGGATTCTGCATAGGCGTTCGATTACAAGTTGTTTGGTAACTTCATTCCACTTTAAAGTTTGTGCTGTTCTGCCTGAGTTTTTAAAGCAGTAGTTCTTTATTAAGGAAGTAGATTTAGACGTGCTCTTCCCACTTCTTTATCTATTTTGGTCTTAGGGACAGTTGTTTTCTAGACCTCAGTCATGGTGTTTTAAATCACTTCTTATTGCTTAAAGGGAGCTTATATGCCTTTTGACACTTTGAGAAGTTTTGTTTAGGTGTCAGTTTTGGAAATAGGTGTCACCATTGCTTCCACAGATATGGCGGAGAAGCCAGAAGAATTTTCCTGCCTTTGAGTTCATTGGCATAGGCACAGCATGAAAACAGGTTTTAGAAAGCCCTCTGCAAAATGAAAACTGCTTGAACGGAAATGTGGTCTGAGAGTGGCGCCACATAGAGTTTTAAACTCCAATTATGGTCTTGAAATACTTAGGGTTTAACAAGGGCGAGGGAAAAAGTGCTAATTTAATTAGGTGTTGTACAAATTATATTAGACATTTCCCTTTAAAAGAGAATTTTGAAAATTACTCCTACTACTGTCAGTAGTAGGTTGGCCTCTGAAGTGACCCCTGAAGTGTGATGGTTTGATGAACGTGAGTAGAAAAATAGGAAATTTTGGTAAGCAATTTTGGCTGGCAATCATAGAGACTACCCCATCTCTGTCATTTCTGTTGATGTTATATCCTGTTTTTCTGTGATTTGTGGCACTAAAGCACATAATTAGGATGGTCACTTTATTTACTGAAGGATGGGAGAGGAGCTTAAAGGTTGTTAATTGTTCAAAAATATATGATACACTCTATAAGGTTCTATACCTGATAACTTCCAGTTGGTAGTTGGTACCAGAATGGGTGCAAACTTAGTATCTTATTTTTATTCTGAGTACAAACCTGGGTCACTATACATTCCTCAATGGCTAAGCTTGTAAGCTGTCTTCCTTAAAGTGTGTCACTAAGTTGTTCTGTTTTCTGCTACAGGCATTGTCAGCAGTGTCCCCAGACCAAAGAACAGTTTTTCATCCATTCTCAATACCTTGGTGAGACTGGGTCCTACCCTGTGTTTCTCCAACTCTGCTGTGATTTGGAAGTTGTATGTTTTTTTGTTCCTGTCTAATGAGACATTCTCTAATCTTTTGAATCTCATCATTAGGGTAATTTAGTGACAAGGCTAACTGGGGAAAAGAGAGAAGGATCTAGTCCCCTGAGTTTGCTTGTTTTTGCTAATATCCCAGTTGTCATCTGCTGAGTGTTTGAGTTTTTGTGCTTAAGAACATGTTGACTCTAGGCATTTAACAAGGGCCAAACACCTATTTTTAGTGGCTTAAGGGAGCATAGATGGTAGGAACAGAGTCTAAGTGTAGTCAGATGAAAGGTGACTTTATTTTCTATAGATAGGCAAGACTAAGGAGTACCATGATCTATTTGATAAAATTATTCTAAAACCGCAGATCCTATTCAGGCTTTTTCTTTTCTTTTTTATTTTTTCAAACTTCCTTTTGACAGATGTGGCCTCATGGATGAGCTGGCACATGACTTAGCTTCAGCCTTGGAGCAGACATCTGAGCAGAATAAGCTTGGTGAGCTGTGGGAGGAGATGGCCCTGAGCCCTCGGCAACAGAGGCGGCAGCTTCGGAAACGCCGAGGCCGGAAACGTCGTTCTGACTTCACTCACCTGGCAGAGCATACCTGCTGCTACAGTGAGGCCTCTGAATCAAGTCTGGATGAGGCCACTAAGGACTGTCGAGAAGTGGCTCTGGTCACCAATTTTAGTGACTCAGATGACACAATGGTAGCCAAACGGCACCCAGCTCTCAATGCTATTGTTAAGAGTAAGCAACATTCTTGGCATGAATCTGACTCCTTTACTGAAAATGCACCTTGTCGGCCACTTAGGCGTCGGAGGAAGGTGAAGCGAGTGACATCAGAGGTTGCTGCCAGCCTTCAGCAGAAGCTGAAGGTATCAGATTGGAGCTATGAGAGAGGCTGCAGGTTCAAGTCTGCTAAGAAGCAGCGTCTATCCCGCTGGAAGGAGAATACTCCCTGGACCTCATCAGGCCATGGGTTGTGTGAATCAGCAGAAAATAGGACTTTCCTAAGCAAAACGGGAAGGAAAGAAAGGATGGAGTGTGAAGCAGATGAACAAAAACAGGGCTCTGATGAGAACATGTCAGAATGGTGAGATCTCCCTTACTAAGTCAAAGATTTTCCTGGTTATTTTACCCAAAGTGCAAATCTAGTCTTCTACTTTCTTTCATCAGCCACTCTAGTATTGACTGTGTAACTTTCTTTAATCAATCATTAGTTTATCACTAGTTTTTTAAAATACTGTCATGAATCTATTCCCTCTGTCAAGAAGGCTAGATGTAATAGAAACACATTTGTTTCTAAAAGCAAGAGTCTGATTTTCAAAACCGTTTGCTGCTGTTTATGTAGTTCATGCATAGATATTGCTCTTTAGAACGAGGGTTTTAGCAGAGGCTGGTGTATGTATATGTGGAGTTTGTAAATGTTACTGGTAAGCTGTCTGTCTCCATTGGGAATCATGGCTTTAGATATTTTTTGGTTGTAATTCTGTTCTCTGCTACTTGCAATTTAACTATACTTTATTTTTTATGGCTGACATTCAAGTTGTCCAACATATGTTGGGCTTTGAAACTAACATACTTAGTCCCATTAGTCTTATACCAAATGTGATTGACCAAGAAAATTTATCTCTAATGAGTGCATGTTTAAAGTGTCAGTGTAGTTTTGGTAACTTTTTATTTTTTACTTCTTAGATAATCCTAGGAACATTGATACCCCCCAGTTTGATACTTTAATGTTATTAATATTAATCTATGATATATGTTTCTTCATGAGGATGCTGTTGGTGTTTTGGATGGGATAATTCTTTGTGGTGCATTGCAGGATATTTAACATCTCTTCACTGTTCCCACCCCCTTTTTCATTGTAGCAACCCAAATGCCTCTAGGGGTGCTTTCCAGGTGGGTTGAATACTCCCTGTTGAGAATCATTGTATTATTCTATTATTGCTAATATTAGTTAGCATTTATTAAGTAAGCACTGTGTGCCAAGCCAAGCACTGTACTGCAAAGACTTAACACATATTTATATTTAATGTTCACAGTTCTACTGCAGGTACCACTGTTTATATTTTATAGAAGAGGAAACTGAGCTTATGGGAGTTTAGATAATTTGCCTAAGGTAACCCAGTGCCAACATTGGGAATCAAAGCTGATCCCAAAGCTCATTCTTAACCAACATGTTTTGCTGCCCTTTGAGTTTGCCTTTTTCATGACCCTTTTGTGTCTCGACTTTCACAACTGAAGAACATGTGACCTTTTTGAAGTTCGTCTTAAAAACAAAGACATAAATCTTAGGAACTCTGAAATGGGGCTGTGTCAGTAACAGGAAAAGCTGTTTAGGTCTGTATGCCTGTACTTTTCATGGACGGTTTCTAATCCACTTCCAAGCTTTTTCTTATTAACTGTATTGGCCAGTGTGCTCAACAAGGTAGGTTCCTAATTTGGCTTTCCTGATTTTCCTTTAATGCTTAATTCCTTTTAAGGCCTATTTACCAATTTATGTGTTTATTTTTGGACTATAAAAGTATTTTTTCCTCATCATTCTATTTTTAATCAAACAAGGAATGTTTAGTGAACTTGTAGTCTTTCACACTATTAAAACCCTCTATGGAGGCATTCAAGTTTGTTTTAATATTGAGCATAAATACCAAATAGAAATCTTCTCACTGTTGAGAAGGGTGATTTTAAAAATAGCTTTTTGGGATAATAGCTTGTGTATGTTTCTTCCCCAGAATTTCTTGTTAAACTGTGACATAATTGTGTGTGTGGGATTGTTAACTCGGCTCTAAGATAACAGCATGAGTATGGCACCAGATGCAGAGCCTGTCAACTAGTAGTGAGGTGCTTCAGGCTTTCCTGGTCCTTACCCCAAACACATCTATCGCATGTATGGTCAGGTTGTGATAATGTAAATTCTAGTTATCTGAGAGTCTGGATAAATTGAAGTAGACAGGAATTCTTATGAGATTCTTACTTTTTTCAAATTGAGGAGACCTCATTCCCTCATTTGGGCTATTGCCCTGGCACATCCTTTCACAGTTCTTTCAGTAATGTGGATCCCCAAAGGCCCTGCAGTTTAAAGGAATAATGGGTGGAGTAGTAGCACACATGGAATGAGAAAAATTCTTCCTTAAAATCTTCTAATTATTTAGGAGTCCAAAATTCTTCTTGACTTGTCTCAATATCTCTGTAGTTATAAACAGAAGTGCTTCGTACTTTTTCCCCCTAGATTTTATGTGGAAAGAGAGTGATTCTTTCTTATTCTTTGATTGCATATTGTGTTCAGCCTTTCCTCAATAAAGTGGAACAAAAATCCTTTACTTTTCAAGCTGCCCTCCATTATTAAGCACATCTTATAAACAGGGTTAGCATTAGAGTATAAGTATATAGTAGTTTATGATTTGAATATTATGCTGTCTTGGTGAGTTGATTCTGTCAATATTTTCCTACTTTTTTTCTGCATTAAAACAAATACTTTCAAGAGTCCTCTGGGTTATTCTTTCATAAACCTGCTTGGATATGCCACTGTTTATTCATATACAGATCAAAGTGTAGAACTTTACTTTTTATCAGTGGTGTTGAGGGTTAGCAGAGTAATGATCCACCTTGCACAATTTTTAAGATGAAGTCGATCATTAAGCTTAGCTTAGCCTAGTCAATGGATAGAGTTTTTTAAAAAGCATGTATTAGATGCTTAAGATTTGAAAATGTATGTCTTAATCAGCGGTATTTCTAGTTTTCTTAAGTTCACTTTTGCTAACTAAATGTGGAGTAGTTTAAGGTTCACTGGTATTTGTTTGCTTTTCTCGTTCTGATCTTTCTTCAATGCTATTCCAACCAATCCCTTATGAGTTCCGAGGAACTAAAGGTAGTTATGATATAATAGTTTTTTTTATTACTGCATAAAGATCAAACTATTATTCTAATATTTTTCTGTGTGTGTTTGTGAATATTCTAATATAGAACAACTCTTATAAAATTGCTTTCTACTGATCTTTATTCAAATTGTCTATATCATTGGCATGGTCGTAGCTCATTGTAGCCTTAAACTCCTGGGCACAGGTGATCCTCCTACCTCACTCTCCCAAGTGGCTGGGACTGCAGGCATACGCCACCATATCCAACTAATTTATAGAAGCTCTTAATAGCTATTAGCTCTTATATGATCATAGCTTAATTTTGCTCTGTCTTCACTAACATACCATTTGTTTGTTCCCCTTGAATATCGTTTAGCTTTTTTTTTTCTTTTGTAAGTGAATTGGTTGATGATGGCCTGAAGTCACATTCAGGAGCCTTCCTAAGGTGATGTATTAGAGGCTGATCTCACAGGAAAGAAAATATTCCCTTCTCTTGGAAGGCAAGTGACAGAGATAGAGTGCTAAACCTCCCCCCTCCTCCTCTAGCCCAAGCTGACCTTCTGCGGCCCCTTGGTACCTCTTGTTTTCTTATTTTTATAGAAAATCAATATCCCTTCTGACACAAACAATAGCTCAGAAACAAGAATAAATGGGAGAAAGCTGAGATCTCTGTCCATCACCTCTCACTTTAACTCCCCCAAACTCTTTAATTATGAGCATGCTTTGCTCCAGGTGTGTGTGACAGTGAAATTGCTAAATGAGGACCATTTTAACCAAAGATTGGGTGATCAATAACACTCTATAGCAGTAGCTTGTTGGATCAATAGCATTCATTATTTCATGGTTAAGGTAAGTAGCCTCCTTTGCAAGTGGAGGTCATTAATCAGGGGTTACTGAAGCTGTGGAAAGGAATATATTTGGTAGAGTGAGAATGTTCTGTTTTCTATTTTGTAAATAAGAATGCTGACCAAGAGTATACTTACTATTGTTGCAGTTGGTGGTATTGCATTTGAGAGTATTGAATAGCTAGCATAGTATGCTTATACAGATTTATTTAAAGTTCTACTAGTATATCCTTCAGAACAACTAAAAAGAACAGCTTGGAAGTAGATATGATATTGTTGTATTTGAAGTTCTATCTCTTGAAAGAAATATCTGTCTCTTAAAAGAGTCTACTTCTTGAAAGAAATCTTAGGATTATTCTGTGTAGCTCCAAAGAAGGAACTAGGACTCAGGGATAGAAAGTACAGAGCATTAAATGTTGCCTCTGTATAAAGCACAATATTTTAAAAGTTAGAACTCTGTGAAAATGAAGTGAATTGTTTCACCAGGTAGTGAGTTCTAGATCACTGGAGGGATTCAAGCTTAGGCTTCATGAGCACTTACTGAGTTACTGTGCAGTTGAGAAGGTTGGGCTGCAAGACTTCCAAGGTCCCTTGCAACACTGAGATTCTCTGATTCTTTTCAGTCACAACCTGCCTCCCACCACTGTAACTTATGACATCTGACAAGTAGTCTCCACTGTCCACTGGAATAGTTATGCAAACATAAAACATTGCAGACTCACAGCACTAGAAACTTACGTTTGGCCTATTGCCAAGATTTTTTGACAGTATAAAGCTGATGGAATTGCATTGAAAAATGCAATTGCAGGCCTGTACTAACAGTGCTGAGCCTACCTGGAAGGTAGATGGCAAGACCCTGTATCCTTTCTCTGTAGTCAGTTCTTGGTTCAGAAGTGCATGATCTGTTTCAGTCAGAAAATTGAACAGCTGCAGATTGAGGCAGAGTGTTTCTTCCTTTGCTTCCCAATCAGTATCTTTCAGTTTCTATTTGGAGGCTGTAACTCCCAGAATATACTTGGATAGGGCAGCTTAGTATTTTCTCTATGTGTATTTGTGTTTGGGGTAGGAGGCAGTCACAGGGTATTGAATCCTGGAAAGTATAAGAATAAAGATTTCTGTTGACCTGGGCAGTAAAGAAAAAAACCCTCTTTGTAGTATTTTATCCACCTCCATTTACTGCAGACTCCCGGAATGGGGCCAGAATCAGGCAGCGAGGGTTAGGAGAAGATTCTGTCTTAGTTTAGCATAACTGTGTGAGTTAAAAGTCTACCAGTTATACTGGGAATTAGGCTAGTGGCTCTGCATAGTCTCTTGGCCAGTTATAGATCTGGGAAGAGCATGTTACCTAGGTCCATGGGAATAGAGAATGGGACCAGGGTAATCTATAT